AATAAATATTCAGTCATACATGCAGTCAGTATAGTATAGTAAAGTAACATATAGATGTATATCAAACTTTGTCTATCCATTAACTACGTTATATAGAACTGAAAAATGCAATGTAGACATATATTTTTTAATTTTGTTGTTCAATACTCGATACTATAGACTAAATTAAAATATGATTTATCATAAACTAGACATACAACAGTATTTGCTAAATGGACATGTGTGATTGTTATTGTACATACCAAAATTACCAGTGTACATACATATTGCACAATTTGATTGTTTCATCGAACAGATACTCAGATCTGTGATACAAGAACAGCACTAGTCTGCCATGTCGTGATAAATCATAGCCCAATGCTGATTTACAGTATTAAACAACAATATTTAAAATTACATGTTCCCGTCTATATTGCATCTTTAAGGTAATTGAATATTTCATTCCTATTATATTACTTTGTTGTTCTGCTAGAAATATATATTATTATCATTAACATAATGTGAAACACAATTTTGAAAATGAACACTAGATAAGAATAGAATATAACACCTTATACTGACACAATTGATATTTAATATAAAGTATATATTACTTGCTATGCTAGCCATGCTAAATACTGATTTATCATTGTTGTGACATTTCTTTTTATGTGTAAATAACATAGAGTAACATTAAATATGGGCAACAACCAGGTTATCCTGCATGTACAGTTTGATACTAGGGTGTATAATACTGCTAATCAAGTAATACTTTTAGAAAAAGGCAGACGATGATCTAACTCAAGCATCACTACAATGCTAGACAGAATAGTACTTACATCTCCATTTGAAGTAGTGATAAAGTGTTAGTTCAGTTTTAATTTCAACATGGACTGCTTTTCTGCCATGCGATTCTTTTAATATGATTTGAACATATTTTGTATAATTGAGTAGTTATACCAACACATTTATCTCATTCCTAACACTTTTGCAGCTTCAACAGCTGCTTCTCGTGCAGCTGCCTTAGCCTGTTCAGCTTCTTGGAGTAATTTTTCAGCAGCATTATTTATAGCAGTATTGTCTGCAGACCCATCTTTTCGATTTTCATTTGCAGCATCAACTGCAGCTTTGTCAGCCATTGATTTAGCAAGTTCTGCAGCCTCTTGTGCCTTTTCTATTGCATCATCGACAGCACCAATGTTCCCATTTTGAGCTGCAATAATTGCTTCCTCTCCAGCCTTCACTGCTTCTTGAACCTCTGCTTCTGCTTCTTGTGCATCTCCCTCTTCTGCAGGTTCCATTTCTAAATCTTCATTAACTTCTTTTTCTGGGGGTAAGTCATCTTCAACTGCAAGTGCAACTTCGTCAACAACTTCTTCATCTGTATGTGCAGCAATTAATTCTACAGCTTCTCCATTTGCCACAAACACTTCTTTTTCACCTGTTAGTTGTTCTTCTTCAGGTGCAATTATCTCTGTTTGCTCTTCTAAATCTATCACTGCTGGTGTCCCATCCTGCTCTTCAACTACTTTGACTTCTGCTTGCTCTCCGACCAATTTCTCTGTAACTGCTTCTTCTTCTGCTACTTCTACATTTGTAGGTGCTGCTTCTTTAATAACTTCTTCCTCTGCAGGTGCTCCTTCTGCAGTCACTTCTACCTCGGTTTGTCCTTCTATTGATTCTGTCTCTGCAGGTAATGTGTCTTCATCTTCAAGTGCATCTTCATCAGCTACTTTTTCTAGTTCTACCCCTGCTTTCCTGTCTACAAATTCTGTTTCTGTGACTGCTTCTTCTGCTACTTCTACTTCTGTAGGTGCTAGATCTTCAGTAACTTCTTCCTCTGCAGGTGCTCCTACTTCAGCCTTTACTTCATCTGCAGGTGCTCCTTCTGCAGTCACTTCTACTTCTGCTTGCTCTTCTACCAATTCTGTCTCTGCAGATTCTACTTCTTCAGCTACTTCTATATCTGCAAGAACCCCTGCTGCAGTCACTTCTAC